ACATACATACATACATACATACATACATACATACATACATACATACACACACATACATACATACATACATACAAACAGACATACAGACAGACAGACAGACATACATACAGGCAGGCAGACAGACAAGACATACCAACAAAAACAATATATAGAGTAAAGTACATACACACATACATACAGGCACGCGCGCGCGTTAAATTGCTGCTGGCTCGTGGTCAGCGCCTGCTTAAGGGTTGTAGATCCTGCTAGGTTGGGCGGCCGTGGGCGGGGGCAGTCTGGCGGTTTGGAGGAGCACAACGGTCATTCCGCCCGCAGTTCGAAGAGGAAGAGGAGGGGGAGGAGGAGGAGGAGGAGGAAAACATCACGCGGCGTGGGTCGAATGAGCGAATTTCCGCATCTCAGCACATACATGAGCGCGCGCAAGAAAGCAATCACGCGAGAAAACACCCATGAAGCACACTTTCGCACACGCGCGAGCGCGTATGTAAGAACACATGCATGAGAACACGCATATGAGCGCAAACAAATGAAAGCTCTGAGCACAAGCGCACAGGAAGAGCACACCTGTGAGAACAAACACGGCGCAAACATGAGAACACAGATTTAAGAGCAAAGGTTTGAGCGAGCACGTGCGACGGGGCGCGCACGTGAGAGACAAATAGAACACACATGGGAGCACGTACATGAGAGCACACCTATGTCAGCAAACACATGAGAGCACACACAGTGAGAGCACGCAGAGCGCAAAAAAGACGGAGCAAGTGGTCATTTAACCAGTGTTGTGTGAGACCTGCGTTCTCGATTTCGCGATGGCAGGCGCAGCCGATTGCAGACCTCGAAATGCAGATTTCGTGGCAGGCACCGTGCTTTGTAAACCTGAAAGTGTAGGTTTCGCGGCCAGCACAGCGCATTGCGTACCAGAAGTGGAGATTTCTTGGCAGGCACAGCGCTTTGCAAAGCCCGAAGCGTAGATTTTGTAGCAGCGCCCTGAAGCTTGAATTCCAGATTTCACGGCAGCCAAACATTTCCAGGCGCAGCGCTTTGTAACCTCTCTGCGCAGATTTTGTGGCGAGTGCCTCGCAGCCCACAAATTCTGAGAAGGAGCCACAGTCCAAAGTTCATCGTTCACTGCGCCTGAAACGAAATCAGAGCACGCCGGAGCCAAAATCCACCGCTAACATCACGCGTAAAACGGCTCCGACTGCGACCTCGACTTTCAGGCCCCCCACCAAAACAACGACAGCACAGCCGTGCTCCCAAGATCTCGAAAGGCGAAAGGCGTGAGAAGCTAGAACTGGCAACGAAATAGCCCACGCTGCAGCCTCCCCCAATCAAACCCAGCCTTGCCTAAGAACTCCCAGCGTGACAACACTGCACGCGCAATTCGTCGGAAAAAGAACACCACTTCCACAAGAAAATTGTGTCCCACAGCTAGGGCCCGCGCAGTTCCCAAACCTGGCGCCAAGTCCGACTTCCAAAGATCAAGTGGTTTGGAGCACAGGATCAACATTCAACTTCACCTTCGCTGCATGCCAAACCCGCCGCGAAGAGCTCCAGGAAGGTGGTTGACGGTTGACTCTCTCTTTCACTAGTGGAACATTGAAGGCTTTTGCCTTCTTCAGACAAAGTGCTGGCATATGCTTGGCAAGCGTAAACAGGTAGGGGTGCCTCCAATCGCAGTGCGCACAATTTGACGTTCGCGCTGAGCAATGCCTGCCCACGCCGCAGAATCACACTGTGGATAAGTTAAACATACAGTAAATGGAACATGAAGGACAAGGAAACATACTGAAGGAGCGGACTTTGGAGCAGCTCAGAATTGGACAGGTTCTCCCATCCTCCGCTGTTTTTGAAAAGCGCGCTCTGCGTGATCTCAACAATTGAAATGTTCGTGCTTGAATGCCAAGTCCTGTCGGGTCAAGTGGAGCAGCACCCCTGCAAAAAGGGTGCCCTTTGAACAGTCCAGCAGCTGCAAATGACTGAGCTAGTCACTGTATGGGCTGCAGCTGGTGGTCCTTCAGTCAAGTGAGTGAAAGAACACAAACTCGCTGGCGTGAAGCAACCACTTCAAACCAATATCTGGAACCCTTGGCGCTGTGGAACCTACATGTAAAACCTCCATGACCGGAACCTGCACGGAACCTTTTGCACCTCCCTTCAACCTGCCGATCCCGTGGTTCCTTTGCTTCTTTCGTTTGCGCCACACGGCTAAGCTACGTTATAAAACGCCCAATGATATGCTGGATCGACGTTGGTCGACCGGGATCAGGTTCTACCGCAGCGGGGAAACGTGTTTTCTGGATTAAAACGTTCGCGCGTCTTTCATGTTCCACGCTGCAAGCTGCGCACGTCGCACCTGCACACTGGCATGTTTATCGCATGTTCCCACAAAACGTCCAAGATACTTGATGGGGATACTTGGCGTGGCTTGATCCAAAGGTTACTGCTCCAGCCGTCCACGAGAGATGCATATAGCCATGCCACGGGCCAAATGGCCGGCCTGTGTCCACTCAGCGCCTTTTGGCGTGGGCTGAGCTGGGGGTAATTCATCCTAGACTACTGTTGTTATATATGGGGCCCCAAAGGCGACGTCACTGTCAGAGGTCGCTCCCAGTCCCACTGAAACCTCTATAGGGACTGAGAAAAAGGGTCGGCTGACCCGGGCGGTAGCCCATTCTATTTTCGGACAGGTCCACCAATCAAACCTCGCGTCTTTCAGGCAGAACCACAAACAACACAGCCCTCAAAGAATTGGACGGTTGGGGTGCACACTGAACTGATTTGAAAGGTCCAGTTTGCCGGCATTGCCCGGCATTGCGTTTGAATGCTTTGTGAAAAATAGACAATGAATGCGTGGCTTTGTCTTGAGAGTGGCGTGATATTCAAAATGGGCATTCTTTTCCAAATTGATCGTCTTCTGGAATTGGAATGGATTGCAAACCATTTCCAGATCCAAGGACTTCAAAACAAAAACACACATTCTTTCCAGAATCAAGTGTGCAATCGCTTCGAGCCTAAAACCTCTTGCAAAGGGATTACTATCGAGTTGTCTACAAGCTCCTTTCACAAACCTTAGCATTCCCATGAATATATATATATAGAGAGAGACACATCTAGTCAAGTCATGCCAAGTAAATGAAGCTTTCGATTCTCAACCATGCCAGCCTGTGAGGTGAATGTCGGCTCAAATGTGCCACTGCTCGGGTACACAACCTGACAATGCAATTCAGTCTCAAGCGGAACAGTTCAATGGAAGAAATCACTGCCTCCCCGGCTGAGGGCACCTGGACTCAGAGAAGCCAATAGATTGTCAGAAAGACTACACAAACCATTTGATGCCAGCTTCTACACTGGCTTGACCACAACCACCTCTGCCGGGCTTTCGCTGGCACGAGCAACCACATTGCCATCCTCGTCAGGTGCAATACTGTGCAATCCAATGGAACATGGGCATGCAAATGCTCTAGTCTTTTGTATATACACTCTTGAAGTGGAAGTGCATTGCAAAGTAAAAATCCTCAATTATGGGACAGTACATATCAGTAAACCCACTGGAATTGTCGGTCTATGGCCAGCACAACACTCAAGGAGGCGTTTTCCGCAAACCTGATAACCCGCAAGCATGAGCTCAATATGATTTCCTGGTTTGAAGAGCCTTCCGAATTCACCTCGACGCAAGTCGCTGTTTCTGTCCTCATTTTGGACATAGACATGGTCATACAACACGTGCTGACAACAGCAATTTGGTCACAACAAAGTTCCACAAAGTCCTGCAGCTGTCGTTTCAGATCTTCACACACCTGCCCAAGTTGCACAGTGCAAAGCAGCCGAACTACAGCAGCCACCGGCTGATGAATAGCAACTACTGGGAACTGGTTCATTCTTTTGCTGGAGACTCAGACGTTCCAAGCCTGCGCTGCAGTTGGATCAGAAGGCCCTTCCTCAGGCAGAACCTTCCAAAAGCGAATGGGCAATATATATATATATACTGGTAACTTGGCACACATCGCCTCGAAGTCAATGACAATGCTGGACATCAAAACATTGGAAAATGTATGTCATGTATGTATGGACAGCCTGACACTGTTGAACTCTGTACTGTCAGGCTCACCAGCAATGAAGAGAACCCCACTGCATACGCACATATTGTGACCTGCAAAGGAATCGAGGTTCTGTGTATATATAGAGAGAGAGGCGCTTGGCCTGTTGTTGCTTGATTATTCTTTGAATTCAGTTGCAGCTGCAAGCCAGAGAGTGCGGCAAGTAACGAGCACAAACAAATCCACTGCAAACAAAAACAAAATGCAAGTTCCAAACTGAACAACAAGCGTTGGCATGTCACCTTGAACCTTTGTCAGAATAATGTTCAGAGTTCCAAACAAATTGAGAACGGAGTAGCGATACCTGCCGCCTGCTTTTTTGCGTCGGCGTAATTACAGCGGGTCAAGCATCAAATGTCCTGTGGTTTTAAGTGATGGAGTGCCTGGTATTCTTGCAGATCATAAAAATGCCATGCTCTTGATACATGCCTGAAACATAGTCAGTTCCGCAGCGCAGACCCCATATTTTCCTGTCCAAACCTCCCAGTATGTACCTTTGTTGGAAATCGCCGGCAGGACGCAGAAGGAAAGAGCTTAGTGTCATTTACTGCTGTTCCAACCCAAGTAGTGTTTAACCCATTTCTACAAGAACACAACAAAGGATTGGTTGAAGCTCCTTCATTGCAATATTTGAGCGACCGCTTTTCAGTCAGCAAAAGTCTGCTTCAGGCCAATTCATCCAAAATGTCCCCAATTCCAATTTGTCACACACGGCGATCCTTTCAAGTGTGTGTGTGTGTGTGATTGAAACCCATTTTTCGCACACAACTAACGATCATTTGCTCAGTTTCGTGCCCCAACTTACTTGGCGGCCTGCAAAGCATATGCTGTACGCGCTTATATCAACCAACAACATACAAGCAAATCACCAAGTCCTCGTCTGGAGCTCGAGGTGGACTTGGCACATGGGATCGAGCCTTGGAAAACATGCAATGCAATCATGCTTGGAAAGGCAAAACGGTTTGCTGCCAAACTTACGAAGCTCTTCGGTGGGGAGGGTGCCTGGGAGGAAACTGTATAACTGTTCACAAACCCCCGACCACTTTGCGAATAACAGGTATAACAAACAAGATGGAGCCCACGAACCCGAATGCAAACACGTTCGAAAAGCTACATATGTCCAAATGACACTCTTACCGGACACTCTTATAGGACACTCTTGTGGGACACTCTTGTGGGGCGCTCTTGTAGGAAACTCTTGTGGGACACTCTTGTGGGACACTCTTGTAGGACACTCTTGTTGGACACTCTTGTGGGACACTCTTGTGGGACGCTCTTGTAGGAAACTCTTGTGGGACACTCTTGTAGGACACTCTTGTGGGACAATTTTGTAGGACACGCTTGTGGGACACTCTTACGGGACACTGCTGTGGGACACTCTAGTGGGACACTCTTCTGGGACACTCTTGTGGAACACTCTTGTAGGGACACTCTTATAGGACACTCTTGCGGGACACTCTTGTAGGAAACTCTGGCGGGACACCCTTGTGGGACACTTCTTGTGGGACACTCTTGTGGGACACGCTATCTGGGACACTCTTGTGGGACACTCTTGCAAGACACTCTTGTAGGACACTCTTGTGGGACACTCTTGTGGGGGACTCGTAGGCATTCTTGTGGGACAGTGTTGCGGGACACTCTTGTGGGGCGCTCTTGCGGGACACTCATACGGGACACTCTGGTGGGACACTCTCGTGGGACACTTGTGGGAGACTCTTGTGAGGCACTCTTGCAGGACACTCTTGTGACACTCTTGTGGGGCACTCTTGTAGGACACTCTTCTAGAACGCTCTTGTAGGACACTCTTCTGGGTCACTCTTGTAGGAAGCTCTTGCGGGGCACTCTTTTGGGACACTCTTGATACCACCAATCATCCCGCTCACCGGCGACACGCCGCGTCTACACCAGCCTGTTTCGCGCTCCCCAGTGGCACAGCGCCACGCAAACGCACTTTCCACCAAGGCCGCGCAAATC